ATATATATTTTTTTTTTTTTTCCAAACTGTGTCACTTTTGTCGTTTTGCCACTCGTTTTGCTGCCTGACTTTCAAAATGCACCGTTATGTCAAACATTGTTGTGTTAGAAAGTAGTCTCCTGTATAATTCCTTCGGCTTAACAAATCAATGTCATTTTTCTTTCTACTTTGAGTAGCTTAAATGTCAACCCGCTCCATATACCCACAATCTAAATGAATATTGCTTAAAAACAAGAACAGATTGCATTAAAGGCGACTGTTTGAGTACTAAATTTCAGTTACTTTCCGTTTGGATAAGTCATTATTTTTGAGAAATTTTAGAAGTCAGCTTGCTAATTTTAGCGTGAGAGATTAAAACCGTCAAAGAGTAATTTGTAAAAATTAAAAATTCATGTACCAAAATAGCTCATTCTCATAATCTATAGACTAATAACCCTTTAAAAAAATAAAAAATAAATCACCACTCACAATGAGAATCACTTTTAAATGTCAAGGTTAAGGGTGTCTAAAAAATCGCCTAAACTACCCAAATTGCCTAATTTAAATCAAAATCGAGCCAAATCTTAAGATATACATTTAATGTGATAAAAAATAAAAGGTATACACTCGAATAAACTTAAAAACAAGGTAAAAAAAAAGAAAGTAAATAATTCAAAAAAACCCACAATAAATATACATATACATATAGATGTGTGATGTGTTGACATAGTGAGAATGTGACATCAGTTAGCACGACTACCATTTACACTGCACAAAGTACAAACAATGGGCAGGTCATTGTAAAAATAAGAAAACAAATAAAAAGTTTATTTTGTTAATTTCACATCAACTTGATAAACTTTTCCATTAGTTGCTAGTTGAAAAACAATTACAGGTTAAAAACAAAATATACCTGTTGGTGCATTTTGTGTCAATACATTTCGCTTTAGTTAAGCTTACAAGTTACAACATGATGATGATATATATATATATATATATGTATATATATATATATATATCATTTGAGAGATTCAACAAATACCATAATAGTTGAGAGATTCGAAACAGTAATTTACAACCATACTCAAGTTAGCTGATGGAAACAAGAAGATTATATGCAGAAAGAACAAATGGCAAAAGTTATATATCAGATTTATCATTTATAGCTGCAGTATGGAATTATATACATCCCCACGCCATCATGCTATCCCAACACCAAAATTGGGGGAGCCTACGGTATTAGCTCTAAATATTTTATATTCTCAACAAGGAATGATAAAATAAAAGGAAAAATAAAAAAAAATAAAAGCAAAAAAATCACAGCCACCACGGAGGCGTGATGGCACAATCTATACAAATATATTATATATAATAAAAATAATAGTAATAAAATAAAACATATGATGAAGACTGAAACAGATTGAGTGCCTACAAAAAATGACGAGGCAGGCTTACGCCTGAATAGAGGAAAAGTGGATATGACGATTGTGCCATTGTGGTTTGACTTCTAATAATGAGCATCTTTGCACAACATGGAATGAATCTCTCTTATTGATCCTGGTGGCTCAAGGTCTTTCCTTTGCAATGAATTCCCACGTAATTTTTGCATTTCTGATGCAAATATGTCATCCAAAATCTGCAAAATCCAAAGGGCATTATATCTGATCCATAGTGGATAAAAGAATATCATTTTCCACAAAATAAATAAATAAAAAGGTCAAAAATAAAGTTAAATAACTCTAGGCAAAAGGAAGTCAAAAATAATTAAAAACAAGACGACTTTTAGACATTTTATGGGATTGTATAATAAAGGGTATGCATATTGAGTTCAACTAATTCAATCTATGCAGCTAAGGAAACTATAATTATTTCTTAGGATAAACTAAATAGAAGGTGAACGTAGGCCAAAATTTCTCTGGCCCAGAAAGCTCAGAGGACAAAGTTCAACTTACGGACACTGCAACCCGTAAGCCTTTGTACCAAGATCCCTTCTCTCTCCCATCTTCCAGAAGATGCAACATATCCTGCAGGGAAAAAAATGATAAGTAAATTTTTAATATGGATGTTTTATATTCATGCTACAATTCTAGTTCTTTTTTTTTTTCTTTTTCTTTTCTTATGTTACCTGTCCCATTCGTTCCCAGAATTCTTTACAGATTTGTACGAACACTGTAGGCTCCACAACAGAATCAAGATGATGTATTGTCTTTATAAGAAGATCCCTCAAGGGCTGCATTCTGCTTTGAACATCAGATTCTGCCTCCTTTGAGTCGCGAATTATGTTCTTCAACTTTGTTGAACTCTGCACCTTAGTCTGCATTTCAAAGAAACAAGAACAGCATAAGTTCTATGTCAAAATGATAATAGGCAAAGATAAAATCTGAAATGGGCATTCTGAATCTACTTTAGAAGGAAATATTTGGTTATGACATCCAATTGTATGCAAAAACTAGAGTGTGGGAATCAGCAAAAGTGAATCAGCAAAAGAAATGAAATGGTCAAGATGAGTCCAGGAGTGAAGAAGCGCCATAACTGTAAGAATATTTTGCAGTCAAATAATTTGAGTTTTGCCATCAAGTTAAACCGAAACCTACATTGTTTATTATAAGCTTAAGGGGAAGAAAATACTTGAACTCCATGGAGTTTGCTCCTTACATTGTCGGCAAGTTTCTCTACAATTGCCTGCCCATAACTTCTAAATTTGGATCTCAGCATCACTTTTACATCATTAAGATGTTCTCCTATGACAGCTCGTCCATCGTCAGGTATGCAAGAACTCCAAGATTTCATCTGGCTATCTATTTTTGGGCACAGCACATCTAGCAACCTCCTCATAGAATTTAAAAAAATTCCTAACTGGAAAAAAACGAAAAATAAAAATTTTTAAAAAAAAAGCCCACAAACAGATATATATATAAACAAAGTTAAGGAAAAACTATGAAAGTATAAGGAGCTAGCAGAAATCCACCTCATCTGGGACCAAATAGGTGTTAACTGTTCCTTTAGATAGTCTCTGGACATATTTGAGGCCAAATATTTTGTTTGTCAGATTATCCTTCAGTGGTAACAAAACATCACCAAATTGCTTCTCTACAGCTTCAACAGTTGCTTTCTCAACATCTGCAATCGCCTTTTTTTTTTTTTTTGTAGACAAACATAAACTCAAAAATATAAGCTTATATGAAATTTGAATTTCAAAGGAAATCAAAAAAAGGAATAAAGGAAACGTATTTGAGCACTTACATTCTCCAAAAGTGAAATATACTCTGGCCATCGGCAAAGTATGATTTGGTATTCATTGATTGTCGCCTCCAGACGGACAAACATTTCATCAATGAAAGGTGTCGTTGAATTTTGTGTTCCAACACCACATGCTTTAACCTGAAAGAGACGAATTTCTGGTGAGTTGCCAAGAATTGGAACACACCAGCTTCAATAAGATTTTTCTAGTCAAAGAATAGTAACCAGCTGGAATCAATTGTCATTTCTATCCTACCAAAATTTGAGTAAATTTAGATGGATAAGACCGTAGTATTACAGTATAAACCTTATCTTGTTTGCAAAAGTCAAGTAAATCATGACGCTTATCTTGAATCCAGAGGTTTATGTGTGGGTCGAACAACTTTTTTGCATCAACACCGCCATTGACAGGACTGAGAAAGTTTACACATGAGTAAAGACCATATAGACATTGACACAAAAATCATCATCAAAATCAGAAAAGGAAAATCTATTACTTGACATTCCACAGGGAAAGATCCCTTTGAAAGTCTGCTGCTGCAATAACAAGTTCGGAAACAGGAGGTGAAGGGGCGGGAGGAGGGCATGCAACAAGGAAACCGTGCAATCTACTGCCGAGCTCCACACTGTATATGGATGAAGAAATATTTGGAAGCTCGATGAAACTGCACAGAAGAAAAAGAATGCCACTGATACATTAAACGACGAATAAGGTGACCAAAATGCCAAGATTTGAGATAACAAGCAAATGACTTTGGTTGTATAATGAATCATTTGTTCAGGCAAATTCAAAGGGAATAAAATATATGTCCCAAAAGGTACTAAAACATTGAAAATAATAAAAATGAAACGACTTTTATATACCTTGGAAGGACATGCTGGTTGTGAATTTTCATATCTGTGAAAACTTCATTTCTGATATTCAGAATCAGAGATTTCATTTTCCCATAAGACATTGGGAGATCCATTGGCGTTCTCTCACTATTGCTCTGTGTAAATTCATCTGTTTCTGTCAAATGCCTTCTTAACCTCTTCTTTGTAGCAGCCTGTAAAAGTCACTTGAAAAGTATTAAGCACAAAAAAAGGTACTGAAAGGACCAAGCAGGCATGATTCAAAAAAACCCACAATAAATATACATATACATATAGATGTGTGATGTGTTGACATAGTGAGAATGTGACATCAGTTAGCACGACTACCATTTACACTGCACAAAGTACAAACAATGGGCAGGTCATTGTAAAAATAAGAAAACAAATAAAAAGTTTATTTTGTTAATTTCACATCAACTTGATAAACTTTTCCATTAGTTGCTAGTTGAAAAACAATTACAGGTTAAAAACAAAATATACCTGTTGGTGCATTTTGTGTCAATACATTTCGCTTTAGTTAAGCTTACAAGTTACAACATGATGATGATATATATATATATATATATGTATATATATATATATATATCATTTGAGAGATTCAACAAATACCATAATAGTTGAGAGATTCGAAACAGTAATTTACAACCATACTCAAGTTAGCTGATGGAAACAAGAAGATTATATGCAGAAAGAACAAATGGCAAAAGTTATATATCAGATTTATCATTTATAGCTGCAGTATGGAATTATATACATCCCCACGCCATCATGCTATCCCAACACCAAAATTGGGGGAGCCTACGGTATTAGCTCTAAATATTTTATATTCTCAACAAGGAATGATAAAATAAAAGGAAAAATAAAAAAAAATAAAAGCAAAAAAATCACAGCCACCACGGAGGCGTGATGGCACAATCTATACAAATATATTATATATAATAAAAATAATAGTAATAAAATAAAACATATGATGAAGACTGAAACAGATTGAGTGCCTACAAAAAATGACGAGGCAGGCTTACGCCTGAATAGAGGAAAAGTGGATATGACGATTGTGCCATTGTGGTTTGACTTCTAATAATGAGCATCTTTGCACAACATGGAATGAATCTCTCTTATTGATCCTGGTGGCTCAAGGTCTTTCCTTTGCAATGAATTCCCACGTAATTTTTGCATTTCTGATGCAAATATGTCATCCAAAATCTGCAAAATCCAAAGGGCATTATATCTGATCCATAGTGGATAAAAGAATATCATTTTCCACAAAATAAATAAATAAAAAGGTCAAAAATAAAGTTAAATAACTCTAGGCAAAAGGAAGTCAAAAATAATTAAAAACAAGACGACTTTTAGACATTTTATGGGATTGTATAATAAAGGGTATGCATATTGAGTTCAACTAATTCAATCTATGCAGCTAAGGAAACTATAATTATTTCTTAGGATAAACTAAATAGAAGGTGAACGTAGGCCAAAATTTCTCTGGCCCAGAAAGCTCAGAGGACAAAGTTCAACTTACGGACACTGCAACCCGTAAGCCTTTGTACCAAGATCCCTTCTCTCTCCCATCTTCCAGAAGATGCAACATATCCTGCAGGGAAAAAAATGATAAGTAAATTTTTAATATGGATGTTTTATATTCATGCTACAATTCTAGTTCTTTTTTTTTTTCTTTTTCTTTTCTTATGTTACCTGTCCCATTCGTTCCCAGAATTCTTTACAGATTTGTACGAACACTGTAGGCTCCACAACAGAATCAAGATGATGTATTGTCTTTATAAGAAGATCCCTCAAGGGCTGCATTCTGCTTTGAACATCAGATTCTGCCTCCTTTGAGTCGCGAATTATGTTCTTCAACTTTGTTGAACTCTGCACCTTAGTCTGCATTTCAAAGAAACAAGAACAGCATAAGTTCTATGTCAAAATGATAATAGGCAAAGATAAAATCTGAAATGGGCATTCTGAATCTACTTTAGAAGGAAATATTTGGTTATGACATCCAATTGTATGCAAAAACTAGAGTGTGGGAATCAGCAAAAGTGAATCAGCAAAAGAAATGAAATGGTCAAGATGAGTCCAGGAGTGAAGAAGCGCCATAACTGTAAGAATATTTTGCAGTCAAATAATTTGAGTTTTGCCATCAAGTTAAACCGAAACCTACATTGTTTATTATAAGCTTAAGGGGAAGAAAATACTTGAACTCCATGGAGTTTGCTCCTTACATTGTCGGCAAGTTTCTCTACAATTGCCTGCCCATAACTTCTAAATTTGGATCTCAGCATCACTTTTACATCATTAAGATGTTCTCCTATGACAGCTCGTCCATCGTCAGGTATGCAAGAACTCCAAGATTTCATCTGGCTATCTATTTTTGGGCACAGCACATCTAGCAACCTCCTCATAGAATTTAAAAAAATTCCTAACTGGAAAAAAACGAAAAATAAAAATTTTTAAAAAAAAAGCCCACAAACAGATATATATATAAACAAAGTTAAGGAAAAACTATGAAAGTATAAGGAGCTAGCAGAAATCCACCTCATCTGGGACCAAATAGGTGTTAACTGTTCCTTTAGATAGTCTCTGGACATATTTGAGGCCAAATATTTTGTTTGTCAGATTATCCTTCAGTGGTAACAAAACATCACCAAATTGCTTCTCTACAGCTTCAACAGTTGCTTTCTCAACATCTGCAATCGCCTTTTTTTTTTTTTTTGTAGACAAACATAAACTCAAAAATATAAGCTTATATGAAATTTGAATTTCAAAGGAAATCAAAAAAAGGAATAAAGGAAACGTATTTGAGCACTTACATTCTCCAAAAGTGAAATATACTCTGGCCATCGGCAAAGTATGATTTGGTATTCATTGATTGTCGCCTCCAGACGGACAAACATTTCATCAATGAAAGGTGTCGTTGAATTTTGTGTTCCAACACCACATGCTTTAACCTGAAAGAGACGAATTTCTGGTGAGTTGCCAAGAATTGGAACACACCAGCTTCAATAAGATTTTTCTAGTCAAAGAATAGTAACCAGCTGGAATCAATTGTCATTTCTATCCTACCAAAATTTGAGTAAATTTAGATGGATAAGACCGTAGTATTACAGTATAAACCTTATCTTGTTTGCAAAAGTCAAGTAAATCATGACGCTTATCTTGAATCCAGAGGTTTATGTGTGGGTCGAACAACTTTTTTGCATCAACACCGCCATTGACAGGACTGAGAAAGTTTACACATGAGTAAAGACCATATAGACATTGACACAAAAATCATCATCAAAATCAGAAAAGGAAAATCTATTACTTGACATTCCACAGGGAAAGATCCCTTTGAAAGTCTGCTGCTGCAATAACAAGTTCGGAAACAGGAGGTGAAGGGGCGGGAGGAGGGCATGCAACAAGGAAACCGTGCAATCTACTGCCGAGCTCCACACTGTATATGGATGAAGAAATATTTGGAAGCTCGATGAAACTGCACAGAAGAAAAAGAATGCCACTGATACATTAAACGACGAATAAGGTGACCAAAATGCCAAGATTTGAGATAACAAGCAAATGACTTTGGTTGTATAATGAATCATTTGTTCAGGCAAATTCAAAGGGAATAAAATATATGTCCCAAAAGGTACTAAAACATTGAAAATAATAAAAATGAAACGACTTTTATATACCTTGGAAGGACATGCTGGTTGTGAATTTTCATATCTGTGAAAACTTCATTTCTGATATTCAGAATCAGAGATTTCATTTTCCCATAAGACATTGGGAGATCCATTGGCGTTCTCTCACTATTGCTCTGTGTAAATTCATCTGTTTCTGTCAAATGCCTTCTTAACCTCTTCTTTGTAGCAGCCTGTAAAAGTCACTTGAAAAGTATTAAGCACAAAAAAAGGTACTGAAAGGACCAAGCAGGCATGTCAAATTTAGGATCCTTTACCTGAAAATATCTGCAAAACTTCAACTGTGCTTCCGGACTCAAAATATCATGCATAAGGGTGTATAACTTGATGGCAGGTGCCAAGGCAGGCGCCACCAACCCGCTGGCTGGTCCGAAAACATCCATCATCCCTGATGGAGAAGATTCATCGAGCGACTTGTAGTTCTCAAAAACCAAAGCAAGTATGTCCTTAACTTGATCCTCTATGTCCGCCAGTATGCGTTTCTGGTTAGCGATTTATATATTATATTCAGAATTCATATAAAAAAAGAGGGAAAACAATGAAACAAAACAAAATCCCAGCATGTAGACTTGTTATAGGACCACATAAGAAAGAAATTTATGCCAGAGGATAAAGTTTACATAGGAATTATTTTATGTTTTAACAGAAAAACTAACTGAATTTCTACAGTGGATTGTTAAAGCTGTTGAAAACAAAATCTATGATACAAGTAAAAAGAAATTTCACTCTGAGTTAGCTCAGACCTCCTGATGACTTAAGGTACTCCTGCTGTTTTCCTTCATAAGCACATGGGACATCAAATCATAAACCAAGTTCAGACAGTACTCTGTGGGTGTAGCCACATCCATGATGTGTGAAAGATATCTGTAGATAAAGATAAAGATGATATAACTTAGATTCGCTATTAAGATCCATAACAAAGTATCACAACTTTGATCAAGAGTAGCGTTGCATGTTCCATTACCTTAGTTTGGTGTAGGCATCTGACACTCCATAGTAAGATGCAAATTCAATCACCAGCCACCTCCATGGATCTTTTAGTAACAAATTTCTCTGATGAAATTGTTGAACTTTCAATGCAACTTCTAACAGAAAGTCATATGCCATTGTTTCCGCAACAGAGCCACACTGCAGGCAGAAAAAACAGAAATAAGTATCACTTGACCACTTTCAATGTTCTGGTAGAAATATTCTCAAATACCACCAACACCACCAAAAGATTAATTTTATAAAAGCTTCATACATAACTTTATTCAGCGTCTTATGTATTAAAGACCCTTCCAAATCAGTAATTTTATGTTATGCTAAGAACTGAGGCTCAGTATGGAATTGAGGTTGCTACTCTTACAATCACGATTTAGAAAGTTCTGGATGCAAATCGGTTTGGCAAGTGAACCAAAAGGCATTTTTTTCCTCTGGCTGTTGTGTATTGCTTTATATATATATATATTTGTCTCGCTTCTTGCCGTTTTAACATTTCTTTTTATTTATTTATTTATTTATTTTTTATTTTTTGTCTGTGAAGTTACATCAATACAAGACCGGGCACAACACCAGGCTGAACTACATAAACACTATATTATTCAGTTCTACTCTAGCAGCTAAAATGCATTGTACCCGCACAAAGATTAATCGCAAGTAGTGAAATTACAAATTTACCTTTGGATGATTACTTTCACCAAGAGTGGTTGTATAGTTTATGTACAATTGCACTCTTCCAACAGGTTCATGCTCCGGATCACTATATATTGGCCACCATTTCAGTTTGTCTTCCTGAATTCAAACCAACATTTAGACTCCCAAGTGTTATTAGTAGCTGCTTTTGGAACTAATGATTGGAAAAGTAAGAAAATCGTACCAGGCTATCAGCTATTGCAGCCACTTGAACTAAGGTACGACCATAATAGCATCCCTTAGAATCTCGTACTTCAACAATCAAATTATCAGCAAGACCATCTGGAAAGCTGTATAGACACATATATGAGTAACCATATACTAATCCATCCAAATGAGACCAAAAAATAAATATAAATACATACAATACATAGTCTTCACCAGATCCTGGTCGCAGTCGAACTGAATCCTCATCGGGTGAACTCTTCATCTTTAACAAGCAAGAATATGTTTCTGTCAACCAGAGATCACCTAACTAAGATTCTACCATAACCAAAATGAAAAAAGAACCAAAAAAGAATAAATTGCTCACTATTGCAGCTTATCTAAAATACTGCACTAAAAATTACACACCTTGAACTACTTGATGATCATATGACAAAGAACTGCTGCATAAATTGGTAGCCCCAATTTTCAACACCGCAGAAACCTGTTTCATGTACTTGGTGCTAGCATGCAGGTAAGCCAAACTCCGATTAGACAAGGAAGCATTTGCAGGAACCTGAGGAGCTACATGGACTCTTTTAATAGACTTGCAGGTAGATGACAGAATTGATTTAACATTGAGGTATCGTCTTTGTAACGATTCATTCTCGACTATTGACGACTTCAGAGTCGACAAAACAAAGCAAGATGGAGGTGGCTCCAAACCAATTTTAACTTTGCGGACTGTACAATGCCAAGGATCAGAATATGGTTTTATGGATGACATGATAAACAAAAGCAACTGGAAGGGAAAAAAAATAAAAATAAAACTAAGTTCAGTACCTTGCAGTTTTATTTTACCAGACGTTTTCCTAGTTTTTTGAGCAGCTCCCTGGCTCACTAGCTCTGTAGATCGTTTTTCCAGTAACTCATCCTCTGATTGCAATAGTACATGCCTCAAACTACAATTATAGAATTGTAAACGAAGAAAATATCAGGAGAACAAAAGGAAGTTTAAAGAGTGAAAATGCGACTAATATCAAACATCACATTCACAAGGAGCCCTCAGAAGTCAAAAGAAACAGAGAATTAACAAAAGAAATAAAAATAGGACACAGAACAAAACCACTTAAACATAGATAAAAATTAGCCTCTTATAACATCCTTCCCATTCCAAACAATCAAAGAAAAAGGAAAAATCCTTAAAAGATTTTATCCGTCGAAGCCCACAAAGAAGCTGAAAACTTCTCCTTGTCAAATAGATCAATAAACTCCATTTCCCTTACAAAAATCGTAGCCTTCCTTTCCATCCAAATCACCCAAAGTGACGGAATCACCATACTCTTCCACAAAGCTCTAGCCATGCTATTAGAGTTTACTATTTAGAACCATTCCACCGTTTTCTCCAACATCAAAGACTTGCACCGAGCAGGAACAGCCCAACAGAAACCAGCTTCATTGAACAATTTATACCATAATTTCCTGGCTACAGAATGGTGAACGAAGAAATGATCAATTGTTTCTCCTTCACTCTTACACATAACACCAGGAAGGAGAAATATCCAGTGGAAAAAAATATTCACATTACACATTTACTAGTCATATTTAGTGGTGCATAGTAGAAAACTACTCTCTTGCAAATAAGAACAAAAATAAGGGGGATTCTTAAGTCTGACTCACCCAAATGCATCTCTCAGCAATGCACATTCATTCTCCAAGAAACAATGAACTTCACTAGAACCACGCAAAGCCCATACATGGAGACAAAGGCGGACGCACGCATCATAAGAAACCACAGCACACCAAGTTCCTTGCTCACTGAATCCAAATTTAGAAACAAAACAAAATGGTAAGTAGAACAAGTTATTTAAACAACTGTATGAAAAGAAAAATAAATAAAAAGAAGAAATTACAACTTCACTGAATACTTCCAAATGGCTTAAGTTGAAAAACCAAACACAAATATTTATACCACGCCAAATTGAAGTTGCAAGTACCTGGCCAACCTTGCTTGAAATGCTGGGAGGCGTACAGGTTTAGAAACCTTAAATCCATCAACTTCCAAATCAACATCAGCCCTGTGATACTCAAATGATAAGTTTAAAGTTTAACTATTCCTATCAATTTCACTCATAGATATAAAGGAGCAAAAAAAAAAAACTACTTGTAATATACAGTTTTAAACTACCAAATACGTCAAAATCATATCAGATTCAAGAGAAATACGACAGTTTTTTTTCCCCTCCTAGAAAAATAGTTCACGAAAGAAGCATCAGTCGAACCAAATGGACCAAAAAAAAAGCCAAATTTGCATACTGATAAGGTTTGTGATGTCCTCCGAGGATTGGAATTTGGTCAACACTTTGACTCATCTCAGAACCAGAATCAACCAGTGGAGGAGCACTTAATGTATCATGACTAAACTTTGAGGCAACTCTTGAAGAGCAATAACCCTCCGATGTCTGAGTAAACGAAATCTCAGTACTAGTAGCAGAGTCTGACCATTCATCTTCGCCAAAGACTTTTTTAACTTTCAATGACCCATTATCACTCGGTTTATTTTGGCTTGAAAATTGGGATTTTGAGAAGAAACCTTTGTGATCTTGGGGAGAAAACTCTGAATCAGAGCAAATGTCCATGTCTGAACCAGACCCACTTTGGTTTTCATTAATGGGTCTTGGTCTGAGAACCGTAGCTGCTCTTTGCTGGGCAAATTTGGCCTGAAAACACCAATGTCAGAGAAAAAGTCAAACGACAACAATTCAAGAACGAAAATGACAGAGAAAGTTCAATAATTCTCTCCTTTTTTTCTTTTTTACCTTTCCAGCCCATCTATGGGCGTTAGTTTCAAAGCCTTTGTTCATCACCATGAATGATCAAGTCTCTTTTTTCAACACCAAAAATTGAGAGAAAAGAAAGTAAAAGGAAATGTGCTTAATTATAATGGTGTTTTGTGATACTAAACAGACAAGTGACATACTAATGCGAGTAAGAAAATCGTCTGGATTCGTGTTTAGAAGCAGAATCTGCGGAAATTATAGTAAAAAAAAATAAGGAATAGTTGTGGAGATATTCCACGTGTAAAAAGTAACTGCACTGGAAGTATGTAAAGTCTTGGATTTTAGAGAGAGAGAGAATAAAAAGTGGTCGCATTTAGAAAAGTTGGAGAAACAAAGGAAGACAAGAAGCACGAGAAGTGGAACAGGCTGTGGCTGTCTGTCTGCAAACCCAAAATGCCCTTTTTTTTTCTTTTTCTTTTTCGCTTTTCTTCTCCATTAAGTTTCCAATTTTCGGTGTGGCATTCTGTAGTAAATTTCTTTTCAGATATTTTTTTTTACAGATTGCTTCATTAATATTTTTATTTTTTGACAGTTTCGTTTTTTAGCATTAAAATTAACGAAAGATTTTCTAAAATTAAGAAATATAATCACAAGTATTGCATAATAATTGAAAATTTATAAAGATTTACACTCTGCAAATATTCTCATTAGTTTTTTTTTTTTGTTTTTTGTTTTTGAGAGTATATTCTCATTAGTGTTAAAGCCCGTTTGAAAACTAAAACAACCGATCAAATTAGTAATAAAATTTTTTAAATGGTTTGATAATTTACAGAAAAATTAAACCAAACCACTTACGATTGGTTTGGAGAGTTTAAACTTGAGCTTATAAAAAATTTTCATATTTGGACGAATATGTAATTTTTATCATATGATTTCACACGGGGTAAACCTGGCGCTGTCGCAATAGAGAAGAATAACGGTCGGAGAAATGGCGCGTCTTTATGATGCTGACCTTTATCATTTCTTGCATGGGAGACTTGGTGGGCAAGCGGTTGTCATTTTTTTTTCCCCTTTTTTAATCAATTAACATCTTTTCAAGCAAAAATAATTCAATTAACATATTAATTTTCTTTTTGAGATAAACATTTTTTTATGTCTAATTGCTTCTTATAATATTGATTGTGTTCTCTTTTTGGTCCATGCAAGAAAAGGGACGGTGGGAACTTGGCTTTCAGTCCTACTGGGAGTGGGCTGTATTTCACTCTACTCGGAAAGCTTTGAGCTGTTAATACCTAATAAATAAATCCAATTTCCAAACACATGTATACGTCAATTAGTCAATATTCGGTCCATGTCCACATAGTTTAGCGGTGACGCACCATTTAAAGGTGAATTATAAATCTACTCAAAGATGAAGATGAAATTATCTTTACATATATAAAAAGCTTTTTGCTACATGTTTCTTGTTCCGGTGTCAACTTCTCCATTTTTTACTCTTTGTTTTCAAACGTTTTTCTCGATCCCGTTTATTTCACCGATTCAAGTTTAGAATTCAAATTTTACTACAGTAAAAAGTTCTCAAAAATAATCACATCTAATTTTTTTACTACAGTAAAAAGCTCTTATATAAAATTATATCTCAACTCGAATTAAAAACTCGAATCAGCGAACTAAACGGGCCCGAATTTTTACTTTTTTCTAATATAATCTAATCCAAGTCTAAATTTAATCTAAATCTAAACATACATAAAAACGGTTGTTTTTCCTTTATTTATGTGTCAATCTCTCCTTTATTTCTTTATGCTTTGTTTTTGTTTTTAAGAAAATTGTTGAACTTACGCTTTGAATACATAAATGTAAATTTTTATTATTTACTTTTGATTAATCTTAAAAGGTTTTTGTCTTATTTCTTCTTTATTTCTTTTTTTTATTTTTTTTCAATTTTGATTTCTTGCTTTTTTTTTTCTTTTTTTACGCTTAAAACTTCTATACAGTTTGTTCTTAATTTGTCTTCTTTTGTTTTGAAAATTTTCCTTCATTTCTTTGCCTGTTGTTTTATTTTTTGTTTTTTCTCCCTAATATTCTTTGACAGTTTACTTTTTTTTATTAATATCTTTATTTGAAATACTTTCTTTTAATTAAAACAATTTGTTTCAAATATCTCTCTACTTAAGTGTTTTTTTTTTCAAAACTCCTATATAATTTTGGTTCTTTTTTATGTGATTTTTTAAAATAATTTTTTCTTCTTGCTCTAATTAATGGACTTAATTTCTAAAAAGATCACGTACGTGAGATTACGCTCATAAACTTATTTCCCACATGTATAATATATGGCTCAACTAGTAAATCTAAACATTTTGAGTGAAGAAGATAGATGAGAAGAGATGACATATTTATTGTTTAATTGGAGGAATGAGAAAAAAAGAAATGATAAAGGGAGGCAGTAACGAGGCCATAATTTGTTGTGAGTGAGGGCTTAATTATTTTTTTCCAGATAAATTGAATTTCTTTTCCGTTTCTTTTGGATCATATGTAAATTTAACAAAATATATGTAAATTTGGGTGGTGGTTAAAATGGTTCTTCTTAATTTTGTGGGGCTAATTAAAACATATGTATATTTGAAGGGAATAAAGTGGTTTTCTCAAATTTTATGGGGGCTAATATGATGATTTAGCAAGAAAACATGCTATTTTTTTAAAAGATAGAAAATGTGAGGGAGGCCTTAAGTCCCACTGAATAGAACCTAGCTCCGTCTATAAATGGAGAGAGACAATTTAGATCCTTCCATACAATTCATTAAAATCAAGATAGAAAGACTATTTTACCATCAAAAAATTATTATTTAATAACAAATGGGTAATATTATAATTATATAAATAACTATCATTGATCATTCTAACTTTCCTTTCTTACTAAACAATAAAATCTCTTCATCCTTACATTTCTCATCCATCTAACTCATTATATTTTTTATGCTTTTTATCCCTTCAACCAAACAAAACCTTAATTTTTCCGCTAAAAAGACTCAATTCTCATTAACTTTTTTGGGGAAAGTTAGTTTGCTTGCACCTTAGGAACTAAATTTTAAAATTTTTGAAAATTAAAAGGGATTACTGCATTATTAGTCTCTTAACTTTACATTATTATATGGGGATTACTGCATCATTAGTCTCTTAGGAACTAAATTTCATTATTAGTTTACAATCTGGGAATATGACATGGGGATGTGTCTCTCGGAAAAAAAAAAAAAAAACCCCCTCTATAGTTAGTTTCACTTTTATAATAAAATTTAATTATATAAGTAAGTTTATTTTCTTTTTTAGTCATTTATTTAAGGGTCTTTTTGTAATACGGAAAAAAGGTTATATATATAGATTCACCCTACCCTTAAATTTTAAAAAAATAATAATATTAAAAAAAATTACAAATATATTCGAGAATTTCTCTGATAGGGCTAGAAAAAATAAACTACCGGTAGTTTTATACTTTTCAACCGTTAAATATGTGTCATAAATTATTTATTTTGTATATTTTTTTAATTTAATGTGATTTTAATAATATCTAACGGTCAGAAATTGATCATATTAATAAGGCGACTTAGATTTCTATGCAATTGTTTGAAATATATATATACGATAAATATATATATGAATATACATATATATGTATATATGTATTTAAGTATTAAAACATCACAATACTCATAACTTATAAACTAACAATAATGACAAAGGATTAAAGCAATCACAGGTTGACAATTTGGGTAGCGACGCGATGATACGATTCAAAACCCGCACGAAGTTAGTGGGTTTGGGTTTACTATAAATGAGTTTGGGTCTAATCGGTTTGATACGATTAACGTGATTAATAAATGGGTTGGGTTAGGATTGACCTCCTAACAAAAAAGTGACCTAAATTTATATGATTAACCATATGTGTCATATGCAATCTAATGATATGTGATATAACATGAAAGTTTATATAACATATTAAATACAAATAATGTGAATTCTAATATTTGTAGGTAAAATTCATTTATTTTTCTTAAAGAAAAAGATAAATTGACCAATGAACATGTTAAACATGTTTTGATCGTGTTAAATAAGTAATTATTATATTAGTTATTTATTCAATATATTAATTTAAACGGGTTATAGGGTTGACACAATTAACACGATTAATAAATAAATCGTATTTGTGTTGATATTTTTAACACGTTTAATAAACATGTCATATTTGAGTTGATATTTTTTAATATGATTAATAAACAGATTGATATGAATGTGACTTATTTACACAAATTACCGCTCTTAGTTCATATAAACCTTCCTTAAAATGTTGGTTAAATTAGCAATGCCGCCCTAGCTTAGCGCCAAGGAGTCTCTGGATCCGAGCTCGCATAAACAAAATTAAACACACACGTCATTGACTCGCAAGTTAAATCATCAATCTCTCTTCCTGGCGCCAAGAGATAAATGGTTTGATATGAGAGAGGAGAGCGTATGATATCAGATATGGGCTTTTTTTTTTTTTTGGACTTTCAGATGGGATCATGTGGAATTTTCTTCCTCCATGGATATTGGATAGTGGTTAACAAAAGAAGAGAGAGATAGAGAGAGATCAAAAGGCCATATATGTATATTGAAAACAATCAAAAAGTCATTTTTTTTAGTTGAAATTTTGGATAGTCTTAACAATAATAACGTCTCATGTGATTTGCTAGAAATTAAGTTATTATCTAGTTGATGGTATTAAAGATGTCTGTTTCTGCTTCAGAATTTTATTTTTATTTTTCATTTTTTGCTAATGACTTCAGAATTTTTATTTGGTTGTATGTTATTTTTATAATAAGTATATATAGGATTTGTTTAGTTTATTAATTTAAATTTTTAATTTGCGTTGAAATGTGATTTTATGTGAGAGTTTTTTACTGTAATAAAAAAATTAAATATGATTATTTTAAGAGCTTTTTACTTTAATAAAACTCAAATTATAAACTTAAATCGGTGAAATGAACAGAACCATAAACACCTATTATTGAGGTCATGACTCGTGAGGGTAGCTTTACACGAATTCTCTCACGTGATCGGACCAGTAAGTTGCACTGTGATAACCACCAATCCTTTTTTTCTCACCCTTTTTCTTTTCTCCTTTTCTTTATAAGGGACAGACAACAAAGGGCAGCGCCCTGAAAATATATATATATATATATATATATATATATATAATATACTTTTAGATGTGGCATATT